GTGTGGGTGTGGGTGTGGGTGTGGGTGTGGGTGTGGGTGTGGGTGTGGGTGTGGGTGTGGGTGTGGGTGTGGGTGTGGGTGTGGGTGTGGGTGTGGGTGTAGGTGTGGGTGTGGGTGAGGGTATGTGGAGTACAACAAGAACATCCACACCCACACCCACCCACACCCACACCTCACACCCACATCCCACACCCACACCCACACCCACACCCTTCTGATAAAGAAAAAAAATGGACCGGATGGGTAACAAATGAGAAAATCCGAGATCATATGACTACGACCTTGTGCTTTACTAAAGAATGAAGCCTGTTCATTTATAATCCATCTTTTGTGTGAAACATCGTCACTGCGAAAAGTTGATTTGTCATGAAAGATTAGAATGCATGATTTCGTAATTAGTGTTTCCCATGTAGCCATGTCGTCATCTTGAATTGTATAGTAGTGATTTTTGCGTTTCAGAAAATATGAAATAGACTGCTCTCTATGAGCAACAACATCTGGTCTTTCATGACCTTCGGAGTAAGGTCTTTATATATAGTAGTGTAGTAACCTTTCTGGATCCGCATTCCTTTTTGCAGAGACTAAAAAGATCGCGAATACTGAGTAAATCCAGTTTTTCAAGAAAATCAATTTGATTGTTGAAAGTTTCTTCTTTTTTCCACACCATCCAGCTGATATAGCAGCCTGAGACTGTGCTCATTTAAGACTTCTTGATCTTTTAGGCATGTCAAAAGCAAATTAGATAAAATCACAATGATACAAGAGTTTTTATGAAAAATCTTCAAAAACCGATCTTTATCTAGTGGTTTTGTAGAGACACTCCAAAGATCCAATTCAGACCTGATATGATGTCTATTAAATTCTACACTACTTTTTACCTAGGAAAAATACCTTAACATTCAATTTGATTGTATTTCACGTGGAATGAAAAATTAAGTCCATTTTCGAATACCAAACCTTCAAAAAATCTTGATTTTCTCGGTAACGCAAAGGAGCCAAACTCGAGCATATGTAACTTTTTTCTCATTGATCTAATAGTTCGAATGCCGAAAAAAAATCTATTTTAGCTCTCGTAGAAAAAAAGGAGATAGATTTACAAAATAAGGGTGTCAATAGCATCCAAGGCGGATCTTAGAAAGTCAGTCAAATTCCATAGAATTGATGAAAATTCTTCAAACTCATGTGGATACTGTAGTTTTATGTGTCTGATTCAGATAAAATATTTTCATTGGAAAAAGTCTAGTTTAAGATAGCTTAACCATAAAGTTTTTAGCAAAAAAGCAGCTTTTTTGAGTTTTCTGAAATTTCTTGTACTTTGGAATTTTCTCGACTCGGGTAAGGTTTAAAAATTTGAAAGACATATATTCTGAATCAGTGTAAAAAGCTCTATCAAATGATGTATAATTTATCTAGATTTGTTTTCTGCTCGACTTTTCCATTACGCGCACCTCAATATCCCTCAATAAATTGGAAGCCGAAATAATATCTTAAGTGTGAGAGAGAAAGTTTTTACATTTGCTAAGCTATTATGTATATTATACTTGTTCGGAGATTCACGTTGACGCTAGCTTTTTTATTATCATTAGAAGTCCCAACCGGGTTGAATCAACACGACAGTTAAACATTCATAAAATAAAAATTTTTTTGTTGGTGAAATGAATACTTAATGGATTTTAGTATAAGAACCATGTATTTTTTTTCAAACATCTTTTCAACTCAACAACATTAAGAAACTGATCATCTTACGATAAAATATCAGGTGTAGTGTACTTTGTAAGGCAATTGGATTGCCACTGATACGAACACTAATCGTAATTTCAATTAATGCCTATGAACAAAGTCGCCAGATCAACAGATATGGTGTCTCAAACATTCATGGTTTTGACTCATCTTGCATTTGTAATCAAACGTTGCCAGACATCTGCATGACATATATATGCAATACAACAGTAAGAGAATATAAAGTGACTTGCTTTGCTGGCTCAAGTCAAGTTACTCTGGCCAATGGAACGTTTAAAACACTCTCAGATGCCAACATCGGAGATCAAGTGCTTGTTAACAAACACAACCTCTACGAACCAATTCTTGGTTTTATTCATGCAAAACATGAAGATCTCGATTTTCTTGCAATCGAAGTACAATCACTTGCATCGAATTCATCAACAACGATTCTTGTATCTTCCAATCATTTAATCTTCGATTTTGATTCTGATTATGCTCGTTTTCCTGGTAAATATCGTATTGGTAATCGAGTACAATTAATCGAGAATAATCAAAGTGTTCCTGTTCAAATACTTCGAATTCAATTGACAAAATAACAAGGATTCTATGCTACACTGAGCAATTATATTTTAGCTCATCAAGTAATGAGCATTTATCGATGGTGTATTTGAACTATCTACATTCATATGAAAGACCTTTGTGAGAATATTCAAATCTCTATTTGATGTTTTTATTTGTAACCAAGATATTATATATTTTCGATAATTCATATAAATATAAGCATTGATAACACTTGGATGATGAGAAAAGAGAATAGCCATGAAGAATGGTAAATGCCTGTGTTATTTAGAGATAAAAGTCTTTTCGTTCATTTCCTTTGTTTTTAAGTATATCTTTTTCTTGATATAGGTGATATTATTTAAGGCAAGGGATAGGATGAAGAAGATACGTAATGGAGAAGAAAACGAAGTACGAATCACAGAAGAGATTAGTGAAGAAGTTGTAGTGTAGCTGTGAGTAAAGGAAGAGCAAGATCCAGCCATGTAGGCGCAACCCAATGTGCAATATTCTAACATTGATCGTCCTGTTTCAGTTTCATTTAACAATTTATTTCGTACTGTGTCTGATCAAAATTTTTTTATTCATACTCTTTCGATTGGGTGTGTGTAAAGAAAGATAAAAATCGAACATTTCACACCTACACGCGCACCGACACCCACACCCGAAAAGATTTTTCTCTTGTGAAAGGTAAAACAAATGTTTCTAATGAGAATAAGAAGTCAATTGGCCACTTTATTCAAAGAGAAGCCATAACAGTGTAATTATGTTCATAAAAATAAATTTGTATGATTGAAATCAAAATACTTATGATTATCAGCAAATAAAACATTACAATTCTTTAATATCGATGCCATATAATTCACTTGTACAGTATTCTATTTGAAAGCATAAGAACAAACGTCTGTCGAGGGTGTGGGTGTGGGTAGCTAATCAAACGAAATGCACGCCCACACCCATACATTAAAAGTAAAGTTTATTAGATGTAAGTTGTTGTTGCATACTTGCTTAGATTTCTTTCATAGATGCTAATAATCGCCCATTAGAGAGTTAGGTCTCAATCTAATGCTATTCTACGATTTCATCAATCAGAACAATTCATTTGAATCGAATATTGTGCATCTGGATGTAGAGAGAGATTGAGATAATTAATATTTTGTGATATTGCATTTGAAAAAATTAATATCCTAACTCCGGTTGTGTTTGTTGCACTAACTCTTTCGATTTTCTATAAGAACATGCCAGATTAGTAATAGTACGTAGTCTACTTATCACCTACTTCTTTACTAATTATTAGTTTATATTGCTCATAAAAAAGAACGAACACTGTTTTGCTTTCTGTATAATGAATCGTCCGTTTCAGTAGAACTCGGTACCAAAAACCATAATATAAAATATAGGTTGTGCTATAGATATCCAATGAATATGCTCGAACTCGACTTATGGAGTTCTATATTTGCTTTTAATCAGTATTGCCATAATTTCTATTGACTTTGATGAAAGTTTATATTGATTTATTTAATTTTTTTGATTATTAACAATTATACATAATATATTAGAAAGAATCTTATAGCCACTCGTGTTATAGTCAAGGGTATCTTATTTTTATAGAATTGATTAACATTGCATGCCATCGAAGAGGAAAAAAAGAAATTACTTTGCTTCATCTATCCAATAGTCATCAGCAAGTGTAGCTGCTTTCTCGTCGTAGTCGAAGTCGATCAGAAGAAGTCGAACGATATTGTGAGCTGCTAGACATTGAGTTTCCATTGTACTTATGAAATTTTCAAATCCATTAGCATAATAAAATCTTTCATCTGGATTGATCGGAGGAAATATTGTATTATTGTTCGGTGGTGATCGAGGATAAGCATACCACATTTTTCTATGCATCCATCCAATGTTAGCTTTACCATCAACAATTTTGGCTAGTTTTGAATCATCTAGATAGGTAGGACTAAACAATTTCACGAGACGTTCTTTGTGTGGATAGAGAAGTTCGGAAAAGCGCATAACTTCCACATCAAGATTGAGATCGTGAGTTCCATTTTGACGTTCAAGATACCGAGTGATAAACAACGATACAGGAATAGGCATGTTCATATAAGAAGAACCTAGATGAGTGGCGTTCGTTGTAAATAAAGTGACATGTTGTTGAACATAATCGACTTTGATAATTTGATCCCGGATGTCTAAAAACACTAGTTTAGAGTACTAGCTCAATCTTTTAAGATTCTTACCGCTGAGGATAATATTTGAATGATGTGGAGGTGTAGTAAGAATGACAGCATCGTACTCGTCGGATGATTCTGCTGTTGTTACAATCCACTTGCTATTTCGTTTATTTTTGCTAATTTTTGTCACTGTTTTATTCATCTTTAGTTTTGCTCTACTTGACTTGATCATATTCTCTGAAAAAAAATGAAATGAAGAAGACGCTTTGGTGATTAATGATATAATGCGTAGAATCGACGCTAGTTCTTTCTCATCAGTCTTGAACGCACCCTCTTGAAAGTCCATTGTTAGACGATTATCTTTTATATTTACAATAGTTCAGTGCATACATGAGTATTAGTTCATATTGGTGTCAACTGAATTGAACAATAACTATGATTATTGCTATATTTTGAATCATAATCAACTCATGGTTTAACATTAGAACTATCTGAATACAAATTGAAGAAAATTGGAATAAATTTTAGCATAATTTTATGTCCCTATTCTACATTTGAATACTAGAACGTTTGAAAAGCTTCTTCAATAATCGATCCACGTAAATTTAAACTAAAGTCTTAAGCTTTTATTTAGAGATTGTCACATACTTACCAAAAATCTGATAATTGCCTCCAGCAATCGATTTACCTCTACCAGCTATGGCTATCATTGTCATGACTGCATGAAGCTGTGTCACTTGTTGTCCGTAGGTTCCTTGTGTGAAACTGTCGATCAATTCATTCACTATCAGTTCATCTATCTTTTGACGTGTAAGAAAGCTGAATCCTGACTCATTGACACGTGGTTCTAAGTTGATTGCTTCTATGTATGCTTCAACGCTACGAAATGGTCCTTTCAATAGTTGGAAGTGTCGTTGATAGAGATGAAGAAAATGTTGAACAGTTTCTTGGCTTAAATGTTCTATTTTCATGAGAGATACTCGATTATACCTAAATATTTAAAGATGATTGAGAAACTTTAATTTTCACAAATTTAAGCTGCATACCTAGTTGTTAAATCATCCATATCGACAAGAATCGTTTTCCCGTTGTACAGATAGGTATCATGGTTTTCATCGATTTTACGAAACTTCGGTCTTAAATTGAACTGTTCAATGGCACGTTTCAAATGTAAATTGACAGAAGCATAGATTGAGGCGCCTATTTCAACTGGATCATATTTTGGATCATTGTAAGGATGGATGGTTGCAGTTCGACCTCCCACTCTTGCTTCTTTTTCATATATTGTTATTTCTACTTTGTCTCTATGACCTAATGTAAGAAGTTGTTTATCGAGGAAGAAGGCTGCCGAAGAACCAGCTGCGCCAGCTCCAACGATCGCAATATGTCGTACTAGTAAGAGGAAAGAAAATATTTCCTTTCTTGTTACTAAAATACTCATTAATAATACTTTTTCTTTTTCTTTTTGCAGCAACATATACAGAATAATGTCTTACATTACTTTCTAAAGACACTATAGGAACATTCGATTTTCTACAAAAAAAAACTATTCTATTCTGACTTTGTTTCTAATGCATGGAATTCAGTTGTTGGCATGTATGACTAGTAATTAAGAAATATATATGAAAGAAAGAAATATGATAATATTTTTTTACCCTTTTTGTTCCTCGAAGAGGCACCAAAGTGACAGAAAATGACAAAGATCAGTCCTAAAAATCGTTATTCTCTATAAATTTTGATTGTTCCTATTTTGCTCACTGAAAGAATAAATAAATTAGTCTCTGCCAAACATCTTATCTTACTTCCACTTTTTGATGCCATTCCACGTGCCAGTTTTAATCCAACAATCAACGTCAGAATCATAAAAACGATAGTAATGGCAATACCAACGATCCATTTCCATTTATTCATGTTTTCGAGAAATGTGATGAGTATGATTCGACAGCAAATCTTTTCGCTCGAATTTATGCTTTCAGATTCTATATTCAAAATATGTACTGTACTCAACTGTTACTCTTTTCCAAAGAGTACAAATATAAATTATTCCTGTGTCAACAATATCGGTTGGTAAAGTATAGCGAGAATGTTTATTTGCTAATCTCTTTATATTTTCTTTATCTTGATGTACATAATGTACATTGCAACTTTCTTTTACTTCGATACATTGATTATAGAATGTGTTTTTTTTTCGCCTTTTATATTTTTTCCTTCTTCATTCTTCTGCATTAGGGTTTACAGTTAAGTATGGTAAATATTTACCATCAGAACTGTAATCTTTGATTGGTATCTAACGATTAGATTGATGATAATAAAATAGGAATACATTTATCATAAGCAAATATGCCGGGATCTGTTGACCTACCAGAGAATGATTATTACGAACTGTTACTAAGCGTAAGAAATTCACGTTCAAAACTTCGCTTCATATCTCTTTTCAAAACACTGTTGAAAGCTTTTCAAAAGCAAATCTTATGTGGAAAGAAGATGAAGGATGTAGGTGTTTAAATAGATAAGCGGATTCTTGAGAGTATTTCTGTTGCTCTTAGACTCATATTTAAACATTCACACCTTCTTACATCAGACACACAGCTAATAGGATAGCATAAATTAGTATATTACGATCGTGTATGAGTATATGAAGTGGGTATCGCTCGCTTCTTTATGTAACGATTTTTTTCAGTATGGAACGTTAGTACAGATGAGATTTGTAATTTATTGTATCTTCTTAACGTTATATCAGCAAAAATGCATACTGACATACACGTTCCTTTTTATGCATCAATACGCGAAGAGACGAATCAACGTAAGAGATGACAAGAATGTGAAAGACATTTCTCAATCAACTGTTGTCAATGCTTATCTCCAACCTACTCAAATCGAATATGAACAACTAAATCCGGTAAAAGATTATCAGAGATTGTTGACTAATTGAACAACAATGTGAACTAGTTCTCCGAATTGGAATCAAACTGATTTTGAAAAGATATATTCGTATAGATCGTAGATGTTGATTATGAAGAAGGTGTTTTATAATCATCAACTTGATACCATGCATCATTGGATACTACAAGCAGGAGAACTTATCTTAACAAAAACAAATCATTTTACTTTCCTACAAGATCCTAATACGTTTACAATAGCTTTGAAATTGTTCATAATTCAATCTACATCCCCAAGGACAAATCAAATCGATGAGAAAAGAAACTTTCAGCGCATCATCTTCAATGATAATAACTTTCGAAAACTTATCGATTTAATCTTTGTTTATTCATATTATACTAACATTTCATTCTATCAGAACAACTGAATAATTAATCAATTCCGTTTCAATTCCACTAACACGTACTCAAAGTTCATTTTTATCACTTTTATTGATTAGCGTAGACTTGGAATATGATTATTTTGCTAGTTGAAGGTGTAAATGTTGTTCTAATTGTAATTGCTCTGTTCATCAACAATAACATTTTCATATATTCATACCTCACATCTCCGAATGTTAAAACTTGTCAATGACTTTTAAAATGATAAATAAATAATCTTTATTTTTTTTTGTTTATCTTTCTTATGCTACCTGAATATAAAATAATGTTCCATTGATATGTTCATTCATTTATAGTACAAGATGGAACAGAAACTGAACAATATATAGAAAAGAATTATAATTATAAAATGAAAACATAAAATGAATACTTGAATTTCAGTTGTGCTCTTCTATGTTTTATATATATTTATCAGTCTACAAAGAAACTTCTCTAAATGATTATTCGTTTTTTCATAGAAGCATACATGAACTAAATACAGTTTATTGCATTGATATCGAATGTCATAATCTTAATAAACATAGTGTCTTTCTAGATTCTTTATCATTATATTGAATCTTCTTCTAATAAGAATCGATTTCAATCTTCTGATGAGTCTATCCTAATATCATTAGATAAAAAATTCACAGATTTATTGTTCTAGTAACAAAAAGTTCAAACGTAAGTTTCAAATACAAAGGTATAAAAACAAATGAGAATAAATTAATCAGAAATATAATATATGAAGCAAAATATTGTCAATCTAAGGATATATTTTCAAAATAAATGGTAATTTAAGTAAAATTATGTAAATCAATGCATAAGATTAAATTAATTCTTTAACTATTCATTATGTGAAACAAATTAACTTTAAAAACACAACGTACTTTTGTATATTTCGTCTTTTTGTTTTTTTACTCCTTTTAGTATTTGAAATTTAAGATGGTTTTGTCTAGTAATCATCGATGATGATGATGAATACTATCTCTGATATAAAATCATTCATTTTTTCAGCTAATGATTCATTAGAATGTCAAATGTATAGAAGCAAACTTAGATTAAATTCATGACACTTTTTCTTTTTTTACTTTCTTTATAACTAATGAATTACAATGACATCTTTGCTTCTTCTTTTATTCTAATATAAAGACAAGTACATTCTACATTAACACAATTATTCACATGTATTATTTATTACTTTTGTTATGAACTAATAATCAATTATTTTGACATAAAAATATCGATGAAAGAAAAATCAATCTTTAAAAGTATTTTCAGAATTAAATACTTTTGAATCTTACAAATCTTTATTCGATTTGTATCAAATTAATGAAAGACTTACAACATCCGAGAAATAATTTAAGGATATCTTATATTCAAATATGACAAAATCGAAAGCATTTAAATTATGAAAATTAGCTTATTAATGAGAAAAATGATATATCATTTGCTAAAATATACATTATCGTAATCGAATATAATAGTAAAACATACATATATAGAATATAGATACAATTTCGTAATGCTACTGATTTTAAGCAAATATTTTGTTTCATATCAATGTCTAAATTTTTTTTTAATATTTCTCTCTTAAACGAGTCCAATTGAACCCTGCATCATTTGAGTAAAGTGCCGATTTAAAATGCTAGACTATCATTTTATTAAAATAGTGGAATACTAGAGAAAAAAAATAATTGTTTCTAAATCAATGTTGTTGCTAAAACTTAATGAAGACTCGAAACCTTCACAAGTTCTTTCATGTTGATCATTCCTAATTATTGAGCAAAATATGAACTCAAAAAGTATTAATCTGATGAACATTTTTATCTCTTCATTAAAATCAGTAAGATAAATAGAAGCATTTAGGTCGAAAACTTCTTTCGAAACTAATACTGGCAATCGAAATTCTTCCACCAATGTGTTAAGAAGATGTTTGGTGATCTTCTTTTTGTTTTCATTTGATTTTAATCAAATAGCTGACACATATCTTTTCAGTCCGATTTCTTATGGTAATAATAGAATTGTTACTATTTCTCACTCGTATTTTTTTATTGAAAACAATCTGTTCTAGTCAAAACAATATTCTGATCGTTTTTTTCGAGCTTGAGATTGGAGAAAGAAAATTGATAATAAACATATGATTATGGTTTTGTTTTTATTTTATTCTAATCAGATTATCAGTCGCTCGACAATACTCATATATGTCAAACTAAAAATATATCAGAAAAGTTCATTCGAAGACGAAAACATATATATAGAAGAACTTATGGATTGTTTGTTTTTTGCATTGTGATGAGCCATCCAATTTCAATCATTACATATTTCTATAAAAGAGAACAAAATAATACAGTCTGAAATAAGAAAAGTAAACGATCGAGCCGCATTCTCGGGTTTAACCAAAACTACATTTCCTCTTGAGCCTGAAGCATGTGGACACGAGACTTCGGTTTCGCAAACCTGAGTACAAATCGATACTCGATCAACTTTTTTCTTATTGAATTTCTCTTCGCTTATATCCTGTATCAAAATCTAGTAATACTCATACAATTCAATCAACATAATTAGACAAAAAAAAGTATAATTGGAGTATTTTTTTTCATGATAACACTACATTAACTTCGACATCAAGATCATAGGAATTTCTTTTCACAATCAATATCTTTGTTGGATTCGTAAAAAAATAAACAAAACTTAGAATAATTTTGAATTTATTCATAAGCTACGATATTATTTTCATAAAAATCAACAGTATAGAAACTTTCGTTTTTTATGCTATGATTAGTTAGATGAACTGAAATACATCTCAAAGATTATCATAAATATGTTGTAAACATTAATCAGTTTGTCAGGTGATGATTTTTTTATTCTTGATAAATTTGTTTTATAGATCAATAAAGAAATCCATACTATATTCCTATGATATTTTATTAATCTATGTTTCGTTCTCTCAAAATACAAGTTGAAATATTATGAATAACCCATAGATTTCGGTTTTTACATACTGATATAATGTAGGTGAAACAACGTCTTTCGATTATAATAATAAAATTTCATTCATTGAATAATTTGATCATCAAATTTATTATAAATCAAAAAATTTTACCTTAACGCACAGTAAAAACAATCAAAATAGTGATTTCAGTAGAGACAATTGTAGACAACACAAGAAACAAGATAGGAAATCAAACATCATTAACAAGTTTTGTTTTCTTCTCAAGCACAAAAACATTCGAAAAAATATTTGAAAACTTTTTTCTAAACTATTTATCATAGAAAAATCATATGATAGTTATCAATTTAACTTCAGTTTCTCTAAAAAAATCACCAGAAAAGATTTGAAAGATATCTAATGTTTTATTTCTTTTTTATGAGAATATTTTATCTTTTTGCTTTGTGATATCTGAATGAAAACATGTTTCTGGAAAATAAAAACTAATTTTTATCCTTTCATGTTCTCATCGATAAACAACCGTAAACTTCAACATCTTTACGAGACTTTATGACATTGAAACATATATTCATAGTTGTTATCTTAGCCTACAAGCTAGATTAAGATAGAAAAGACAATACAGTCACTTTAAATCATTGTTCCATACCAATGTGTTATAAAAATGAAAAAAACTTTTGTCTAATACAATAACAGAAAATATGAGTAGTTCATAAATGAAGTTTATTTTCATCTCTTCGCGACATTTTCATCATCTTACTAACACCGACACTCACACTCTATGATGGATAGCAATATAGTAAAACACTAAGGCTTCAGCTATTTTCATCTGTGAGATACTACACGAAGGAAATTTTTTTAAAAAGCAGTCAGGTAATTTTGTTTGCCAATATATATATATATGCTAGAATGGAAAAAGTATTGTTCTGGAGGTTAGCATTCTAATTTCAAATAGCATCTATAATGACTTTTACACCAAATAAAAGCTCGTAAAAATTGTATTTAGTAGCAATAATTGACCATTCATCATATGAGAATAGATTATGGAATTGAGGAAAGTTTCAAATTTTGGATACATATTGACACATTTTCACAGCTAATCAGCAACTAAAGCATCAGATTATTTCTCTTTCACACTTTATAAAGCTCGTTTCGTTCATTATTTTGGTAAAAAGTTTTTTATTTGATCAATAAATAACGATGTTAAAGTGAAAATATTCAGAAACATATCAGCTCTGAGAGTGATGAGTGAAGCGAGCTGTATAATATGTGAAAGATATATAATCTGATGTTTTAGTTGTTGGTTAGCTGTGGACATGTGCCAATATGTGTCTAAAATTGGAAACTTCTCGCAATTTTATAATATACCCTAGAGAAATTACTGATTTCAGGGTACCCATGTACTGAGTATGTTTCAGCGAGGTACCCGATGTGAGTACTTTCGAAACTTGTCAGTAACTGAACCTTCTTAGGTACTTACTCAGGTACCTATGACAGTATAAGTACTGAACAAGAACTGACGTGGGTACTTAGCTCAGTAAATTTACGGAGGAACGTCTAGCAGGGTACCTAATTTTTCGTTTTTTTCGTGATGGATTATACAGAAACAAATACATTACTGAAAAATAGGAAAAAAAGGATTTTTATAGATTTAATTTTGCCTGGTAAGATTCTTACTGTCTCTCTAATAGTTGTTTATGAATTTTTTTAAAGAGACATTCAATAAGTCGAGGCTGAGATTGAACGTAATAGCGATTGGTGCGTTTTTCTAAGAAAGACGACCGTTGTGTACAATTAGCGAAATGATCGATACTTGAATCTAAATACGTGCTGCATACAAGAGGGAAGGAATTGCAATTTCAATGGTAAATGCACGAATATTAATGTAATTATATTGTGTAAGAGAATAGAATAATTTACCACCTTAGTTTGGACAAATATGTTCGTTAATAATGCATCCTATGAAATTCTAAATTAAATGGCAAAATGAAGATCATAATTGTTAATAATCCATTATTGATATGATTTTTTTATTTCTTTTTATACCTTTTTAGTAGATATTCTGATCAATGAATCATACTTGTTTTATTATGTTAATTATTATAATGTCTTTTAGATGTCTCGAGGTTTTTTTCCAGAAATGATGCTGAAAGACAAAGAAAAAAGCGTATTTTAGAGCGAGAAAAAATGATTGCTGCTTCCATTGAAAGTAGTGATGATGACATGCCCAATAACTCAATCGATGTCGTTACATCAAATTCATCATCGACTAATGATACATCATTACATGCTTTATATCCAATCGACGACACAAGTTCACAACAATTAACTAATACTGCTGATTTTTCATCATCATATGAAGACGACGATGATGATCTGGACGAATTACGTCGCACAACCGATATTAATTATCTACGTAAACTTTATACTGGTAGTTCTTTATCATTACACGATGCTTGTCAAATAACTATTAGATTAGCCCGTCGATTAAATCTAGACAAAAAAAAAGACAAATATATTATTAAAGGGCGTGGGTGTGGGTGTGTGTGGGTGTCGGGTGGGGTGGGGGTGTGGGTGTGAGTGTGGGTGCGAGTGTGAGTGTTGGTGTGTGGGTGTGGGTGCGGTTGGAGGTGTGCTTGTGGGTGCATATGGGTGTGGGTGTGGGTGTTGGCGTGTGGGCGTGGGGTGTGGGTGTGGGTGTAGGGGTAGGTGTTGGGTGTGGATCGATGACTGTCTTGTATAAGCACCCACACCCACACACCCACATCCACACCCACCCACACCCCCACCCACACCCACACCCACACCCCCCGCCC